ATTTTTCCCTTTTCCTTTCTTGAGATTGGAATAAAAATTGAATTATGAAATGAAAATTAGCATTTAATAAAGTTTTCTAACTAAATAATTAATTAGTATTAGATTTTGTCAAAAAAAATAAAGAAAAACATAGAAACTTTTTAATTTTAATTTTTTAGAAGTAGGATCCACCCAACCCACTTCGAGACTTGTGTGGGTTGGTCATGGGCTTACCTCATTAACTTGACACCTGAAATGACCCAATCCAAAAAACCCAAGATAACCTAATCCAAACCCACCCAATTCGACTTGTTTGCCAAGTCTAACTATTAGCTTTTTATCTTTATCTCTTTTTTTTTTTCCTTTTTTTTTTTCTTGATAACTCTTTTCTCATGGCCTAGCAAGAAATAGAATGTTCTTTTTTTTTTTCTTGATAACTCTTTTCTCATGGCCTAGCAAGAAATAGAATGTTCCATCTTGCTCTAACACTGAGATTGTGATGACAGCAGACTAAAACTTCTCTCACTACCATGACTTCTTTGGGGATGTGGGTGCTTCTCAACTGGTTGCCACTAATCTCTATAGTGACAATCATAGTGCCATACAATTGCTCACAATGATGTTTTTCATGTGTATGAAATATATTGAGATAGATTATTACTTTATCGACAAAAAAAAAAGGAGATTATTTGCTATCATGTTGTGGAAGGAACTTTTCATTTGGTTTCATTAGTTTTACTAATCAGCCTACAAATCATTTCACCAAGATTCATTTTATTGAATGCTTAGAAACTCTTATTTTCCAAACTCAAGTTGGTCTCCCCAACAATCTCATCTTTCTTGAGTTTGAGTTTGTTCATATTCTCACCTCACTTCATTTCTTTTTCTCTTACCATCCACATCTTATTTTGTGGGATGTCAACAAAACCGAACTTCAACAGGGAAGAAAACTGCTTTTATGGGACCAACCAGTTTCTGAAGCATAGTGGACAAATTCTATTAACAATGACTTTAGAAAGCACCTTGTGCGCCGCATTCAAGAAACTAATGGTCAATTCAGAAACCTAACTCTTTTATTTGGAAAGCACTTTCTATTAATATAATTTGTTTAGGTGTTTAAATGCGCTAATATTGGACGGATGAGATTATCCTTGTTTATAACTAAGAGACTTCTATATATTGGATTCAAGACAGCACTTAATACTTGTTCCCTACCGAGTAAACCAAACAAAATATCAAAATGACACCTTTAAATTCAAGATTTCAAACTTTGAAATTATTTTCTTTAATTAATAATTCCTCACGATTAGAAGTTTCAACAAATTTCTTTTAAAAAAGGGCATCAATAATCTTAGACTTTACTATTGAAAATTCAATACTCAAATAATATTAACCTGTAAGATATTTCACATAGATTTAGAGTTAAATAATAGTTCATGTTGATTTTCAAATTTTAAGTCTATTATTTATAGTTAAATATTCATAAATGATAAAGTTGGACGGAGGGATGGTGAAGTTGCGAAGCAGTAACTTTTGATAGGAGATCAAGAGAAGAACAATGATAAAGGCAAGGAATTGGATGAGAAGGGCAGCAAGGGGAAGGCCATCGTTTTCGTTAGGGAGTCCTTTCAAAATCTGCAGCCTATTCTGCAGTCTTCGAATTCACATTTAGGTGAGATCCCTCTTAGACATGTGGCAAAACTAGTGAATTAGAAAGGGGGACATAGCAGCTCAAGGAAGACTAACTGGGAGTGGTTGGGTTGGGGGTTGGTTTTATCCCCTAGCAAGAAATAGGGAAAAGGGAAGCAGAAAGCTAGCTCAACTGAGCTAGATGATGGTAGGGTAGCTAAGATATTTCTGGACAACATGGGTACAGCTCTTGCAATGCAGGTGCATGAGCTCTCTCCATTGGTAGGCTATGAGTGCTGAATGGATATTGGCCAAGCAATGTAGTGATTGGAGATATTACATCACCAAGCCTACTACGTACTCTCTCCCCACAGTAGTTTGGCTGGGACAATAGGTGTGGCTCCAATTAGCTCTAGGAAAGCTCCATTGATAGCCTATTTATGTGTCACATAGCCTTGTTGGTACTTCTATAGTGTTCTCTGATTTGTAGAGATTTTTTACACTTAATTGTCCTCATTTATATTGATATTATCCCTTTGTATTGGATCCATAAGCCTTTCTAGTCTTTTATATTCCTTGGCTAAACTTACATGGCAAAACCATAGATTGAGATGTTAACTTGATTTACTCATTTCAAAAATATTATGTTATTTATTAGAAAAAAAAAATTCATAAATGATAAATATAAGTTTCCTGAAACTTTAAATTAGTAATTTTTGGGCACTTTAGAGTCCAAATTAAAAGCGAAGAAAAATGAAGAAAAGAAAAAAGCAGCTCACGTGATGAGCTCTTAATTAATAACCGAAAGCTTGCTGCTTTTCTAAGAATGAACCCAACCCACTGAAACAAAGATTGGAGAAGGAATGAGGATCAATAAAGAATAACATAATGGATTGTGCCGTGCGTGGTGATCTGAGGGTTAAAATTCGGGGATTTTCTAAAATGTGTCTTAACACAAAAATAATAATAATTTTTTAAATGTACAAAATCAATATGAAGATATGCTCGTAAATTTATTGCTAAACTGAAGATACAGATGTCTAAAAAATAATAAAATAATTAATAAAGTTAATGTGTGTCAATCTTAATTCTCAAAAATAATTGGAGTTTCAACTTATATTTGGAATTGAAATCTTATCTTATTAAATTTAGAAATCTATTATATATTTTAATATATCAACATTTAATAAGATAAATTTTTAAATTTTAAATTAAATTTTAATTAAATAAAACAACGTAATTTAAAATTAAAACTTCAATTATTTTTTAGAGTCCAAACTGATATGTACTTTTCCAATATTATATACACCAATTCTTTTCAAAAGCTTATGAGCCATGTGCGAGTAAAAAAATTAATCAAAATTGTCTTTACATAGGTTAGCATCACTTAAATATCTAAAATATGCTCAAATATAACATTTTCTAAGGCCCAAGCAAATTGGGTCATAAATCCAGCTTTCTTTGAATCATTTAAAGATTTGAGCTGTGTAACCCTTTAAGGCCCAAGCAAAATAGGTCATAAATTCGGACTTTCTAATTTTTTTTTACTTTTGGGTTGCACAATTAAGTTAGAAATATAAAGGAATAAAGAGTGGGAATTCACGAGGGGTGTTTATATTGGATCTAATCTGATTAATTCGATCTAAACTGATTCAATTTAATTAAAAATTGATCCAAAAAGATATAAAATTGGGTTTGTTTGAATTATAAAATTTAAAACTGATGTAATTGATTTGACTTGTGGTTTTACCTTTAAACTGCTTGAACTGCCCGATTACAAAATAAAATCCAATTATAAGATAACTGAATTAAATAATGTAATATATTTTTTGTAGTATTTTAAAATTTCTTTTTCTTATTTTATAAGATAACAACTCCATTAACTTAATTAAAAAATAAAAATAGAACATTTCCATACTCCCTAAGTTATTTTTCCATTTTAATCAATCACTCTAATCTTAATTCTAAATTTCTAATTCACTTACAACTCTATCTCCTCAAAACTAGTTTATGCCTTTACTCTTAGAACTCTAAATTTCTAGTTTATTCTTAAAATAATATTATGATTCTTTTAACTAAGTTTTAAATAAATATCATTCTAAAAATTTTAAAACTATATAATAAAATTAGTTTTGATATTCTATTATTCTTGGATTTTGGTTTAGAAGTTTTAAATTTTGATTATGAATGCTTCTAATCAATTTTAGTGATATTTATGTTAAATGTTATTCACTTTTAACAGGATTTAGAAGATTAGATTAAATTATTAGTACATTAAGAAAAAAAACTAATTTTAATATTTAAGAATTATTTACGTTGTGATAGAAACTTGAAGTCATCTTTTATTGTTCTTGATGCCTTTAGTAATATAACCAAGAAGAATTTTCAAATCTTTTCAATTTTTACAAATGTAAAGTAGTATAAGAACTCGTTATAATTTGTATTTTTTATTATGTTTTTTTACTAATTTGCATGTTAATGTGTTTTATAGTTATGTTTTCTATTTGATATTAAAATATTTTTACATTATTTCCTATATTTAATAATGTTAAAAACCGATCAATCTTACCAAACCACACTAATCTGATTTAAGTTGAATTGGTTTGGTTATCATATAATAATGGATTGGATCGGTTTAAAAATTTTATTAATCAATTAAATTGGATTAGTTTAAAAAATATTAAAATCCGAACCAAATTACATCACGAACACCCCTAGAATTTACTTAGTATAAATTTTACATATTATATTTATATAAAATTTTAATAATTTATTTTTTTATTTTTAATGGTTCAAATTTATTCACATTTATTAGATATAATTATATTTGTCACCTAAAAAATCATAATAAATCTTAACTATTTTTAATAAAGAGATGATTGAGATTTTATATAAGAATGATGTATAAGATTTATGTGTAAATAGATATTCCTCAAAAATAAAAGTTTATTATATTTTAAAGTAGAGTAAGGATCCATCTCCTGACCACACTTATACAAAATTTTCACAATTTATTTTTTTATTTTTAATAGTTAAAATTTATTTATATTTATTAAAAAAATTAATTTTTATTTAAAAAATCTTAAAAAATCTTAATAATTAAAATTAAAAAATAAATAATTAAGATTTTATATAAATATAATGTATAAAATTTATATAAAAATAAATTTCTTCTCTTTAAAGTAAATCCGAAAGGAAGTGCACTTTTTGTGTTTTATTCGGAAATTCATACCCAATTATGCCTATGTCCGTTGATTGCTGTAGGTGGTCGTTTCAGTGGATATGCTCCTTCCTCACACCCCTTACCAGTTGCCACCTCCGCCTGGGTGGTTTCTTCGACCCTTTCCATTAATTTTCTTTCCACGTGAGCTATTTCTTTCCTCTTCCCTGTTAAGGTAAATATTATCTTAATTAATGCTGTTAGTTGTTATATTAAATGGGCATCTCTATTTAATTATCACATTTTCTAGTTTTTATTTTTCTAAATGTATTGAATTTGTCTCAATTTTGCCCTATAAAATGGTTGGATTTTTCTATCATTTGCTGTAAGAGCATATATATAGAATAAAGGTACAATAAATATATATTTTTATAATTAATTTTCAGTAAAAGTATAAATGTTAACTTTGATTTAATCAATTAACCAATTAAAATCATCCATGTGTCAATGATATTAAAATATATCAATTTTTATAATTTTTAATATAAATTAATTAAAAAATATATATTTGTTATACTTAGGGTAAAGGTTAAACAAACCCTAACTGGTTTAATAATTTTTTTATAGCAAAAAAAGCTCAAAAGGAAATTTAAAGTTTTAAAATTTTGTTTTTCTAGTGTTTGTTAAGTTTCTCTTATAATATGTCACATAAACTCTAACAACTAAAATGTAACATAAGTGGATATTGATTAGTACACATTCTACTTTAATATACTGCATAATGTGTTTGTTAAAAAATTATTATTTTTATCTAAAATTAAAACAAACAAATTTAAAGATATAGTTATGCATACAAGGTGCAAGAATCAGTTGAATCAATTGTACTTATATTATACTTCTAATAGTTAAATTAGATGGATATTAAAAATATGTCAAATTGAGTATATACTAATAATTTCCTAACGAAAGTAGTGTAAATTTGAGGTGGTAAAAATGTTAATACAAGAGGTATAATACTTTGTTTACAATGTTTTGTACATAGATAATTGAAATAGAAGTCATATTATATATTTGGACAAGGTATTTTAATTATAATATGTAGATGTAAAAGTCAAATTATTAAAAGGCAATTGAAGTGGCACTTGGCTCTCTCGGCCAAATGACTATAAAACCATGTTGAAAGTGCACCCCCAACCTAAGGGCAGGGTTTTGAATCCCTCGTCTCGAAGTTGTAATCCGTTTAAAAAAAATAAAAGTAATTGAAGTGGAATTTGAAAATAATTGGTAAAAAGTTTGATATAATTGGAGTATTATTATATGGAAAGTTAATTGTTTTAAGAATTATATGTATCGTGTTCACCAAAAAATTTGAAAGTGTATTAATTTAATTTAGGATTTATCTAACATATGCCTTGGGACACAAATTAAATTGCATTAAATGCATTCTTTTGTAATAAATTTTTATAAAAAAAATATGAAAGTAAGATATTATTTTTAACAATAATACCACTTGAATGATTTTTAATTTAGTAGTTGATAAATTTAAAGTCAATTTTTATTTTTTAATATAAATTAATTATAAAAAGATGTAATTAATACTTTCTTAACCTGTACATTAAAAAGCACAAGTTAAATAAACCCTTTAATTTAATAGGACTTTAACCTCCTTAATGAATTTTCTTTAAAAGGTTTATTAGATATTTATTTGAGATTTTAAAAAGTTCACTGAATATTTATTCAAAATTTATTGAAGATTTTAACAATTTTATAATATAAATATAATTGAATTTGGACTAATATATAGTCAAAGTTGTTGAATCAATATCAGAATTGCAGTTGTTGAATCAATTCAATTAAAGCATAGAAAGGAAAGTCATTGGGTTCATTACTTTTTAGAATCAAATTGATATCTTAATAATTAAATTATATAATAACATTATAATTGAAGTTTAGATTCTTCAACCTCCTCAATAAGCTTATTTTAAGAGATGCATTAGGTATTTTATTTGAGATTTTATGAGCATTTTATTAAAAATTTTAAAAGTCTCATTTGAATAAAGAGATTTATCAAAAATTTTAAAAAAACTCATTGAGTATTTATTCAATATTTATTTAAAATTTTAAAAAACATATTTCATATTAACTTAAGATTTTAGAGTGATTTAAAAAACTTTATTAGGTATTTATTTGAAACCTAAAAGCTTCTCTCCTTTCCTTATTTGTATTATTTGTATCATTGGGTTTGGATTTAGGTTAGTATTTTTGTTAGTTTTACTTTTTAGTTGGTCCAAGAGAAAGACGGAAAGCTCATATTTAGTTACATGTGCTTGATTAGCATTTCTATTGGGTTTATATTAGCTTTCTATTATTGAAACTATAATATTGGAAATGGTATGAAAAAATTATTATTAAAAATATAATTAAGTTTAGATTTTAAAAAATTTATTCACTATTTACTTGATATTTATTAAATATTTTATATTTATAATGTAATAATAATAATAATAATAATAATAATAAATTATAAAAGTTTGAATCTCCTATTCCCTTCTATATTCAAGAAAGAAAATTTTATATTATTTTTAAATAAAGACAAAACAAAGTTTTAATTATATTTTTAATTAACAAAATTTTTTATTAATTTAATGCAATATAATTTTGTATCATAAGTTAATGTCAATATTAAAAATACAATAATCAATTAATGTTATTAGTAGAAAAAAATGAATTAATGGAGTAGAAATTAATTATTAAATTAATAAATATGCAAAGTGACAAAAAAATTAATTAATATGATAAAATTTCAATATGTAGGAAATTAGACCCCAACTATTTACCCATTAATTCTAAATTATTATATAAAATTTTATCAATCACCTAATTTTAAATAGTTAAAAAAATTATCAAACACTAATACTTAATAATTTAGACAAAATCATTCACCATCAACTACAAACTACCACACCAAAAGTCCCAATTTAGAACCTTTTAACACAGCTCTAATGTTGAACATGGCATTTATGGCTTGTTGCCATTCCCCCTGTGGCCCTATTCTAGCTGACTCATCCTTTATCCCACATGTGTCGACCTCTACCTTCCAAGTGTCAACCCTAGAACCCACCGCCTGCCAACATTCCAAATTGTCATCCCAAACCTACTCCGTACAACTTTGGCCCGAAAGAAACAAAATAAATGAGAAGAAAGAACTAACTCCCCCAAGGGAATTATACTGACACATGGATTTTTCAAATAATGAAAAATATTAAAATATCAAAAAATAAAATGGAGAGGAAATTAAGAAGCCCAAGTTCCTTTAAACAAACGCATCTTTCTTGTATTTTGGTTTTGGTTCGGATTGAGGCTCGGTTGTAGACTTTTGTGCCACCAAAGATAAGAACCTTCCGTGCCGCATCCACCACCCACCACTCTAATGTAACCCCACCTTTCTCCCCTTCTCTTTTCTCTCTCTCTCTCTCAAGAGAGAAAAAAAAAAAAGGATTCAGTTTTCTCAGGGAAAAATTCTCTTTTTCTCTCCAAAAACAGAGCATAGATGATCATCAATGATCAAGAACCCACAGTGAGAGAAATCAAACCCAAAAGCAGAAGAATCATGGTAATTTAGCCAAACACTTTCTCTGCACATGTTTTTCCTATTTGCTTCAATATATAAACATCATGTTTTTGATATGATCAATATTGAGAAGAGGGATTTTCTTGGATTTAGGGAGGGGGAGGTCCAGACTTTGATGATTATGATGATAGAGAGGATATCAAGTGGCCTCCGTGGCTGCGTCCACTGCTGCAGACAAGTTTCTTTGTTCACTGCAAGCACCATGCTGATGCTCATAAGAGTGAATGCAATATGTATTGCTTGGATTGCATGAATGGTGCTCTTTGCTCTCTTTGCCTTTCATTTCACAAGGATCACAGATCAATTCAGGTACCCTTTTTGAGTTTATTTTATCCATGATCATCATATTCCACAAAATCTCATCAATTTTAAATTGGTTTTTGGGTTCTTCATATTAACCTTTGCATTTCCTTCAATGGTCAAACTTAGTTCAAAGATGACTATTTAAAACACATTGTGGTGTTTTTGATGAATTTTTTCCTGACTCTCTGATCAACCCGAAATCTCGTGATTTGAAGTTGGTTTGCCATTGAATAATGTCTTTTTTTTCTATGAAACAACAGTCCTTTTTTTGGTTCTTAACACTTTTGCTAAATTTTTTTCAAAGAATGACTCATTTTGGGTTCTTCATACTTCCTAACATTTTTTTTTCAATGGTCAAACTAGTTGAAGGGGACTATTTGAAATAAAATTTGGTGTTTCTGATGATTCTTTTTTTTTTTTTTCTCTTTAGCTGAAAATTTGTAATGGGGTTTTGTTGTTTTCCAGATTAGGAGGTCTTCCTATCATGATGTGATCAGGGTGTCAGAGATTCAGAAATTTCTGGACATTTCAGGGATTCAGACTTACATTATCAACAGTGCAAGGATTGTTTTCTTGAATGAGAGGCCACAGCCAAGGCCAGGAAAAGGAATCACCAACACCTGCCAGGTCTGTGAGCGCAGCCTTCTTGATTCCTTCAGTTTCTGCTCTCTTGGTTGCAAGGTACTTGAAAAAACCCACAACCCACAAAATTTTCCTCCAAATTCTCTCAATAAAAATGATTTAATTCCCCATTCGATTGCATTTTCTTGTTTTCAGGTTGTTGGGACATCCAAGAATTTCAGGAAGAAGAAAATGTTGGAGGAAACTGATCAAGGGTCGGATGCAGAGTCCCTGAATAGGGCAAACAATGGAAGCACAAAGAGCAAATTGCAGAGCTTCACGCCGTCAACGCCACCGCCGACCTCCGTGAATTACAGAACCGCCAAGAGAAGGAAGGGGGTTCCCCATAGAGCTCCAATGGGAGGGCTCATTTTAGAATACTAAATTATAGCTTTGTTTTCATCGATATATGTCTCTATCTTCTCATGAAAGAGAGTAGATGTACAACATCTGAGCCCTGTGCCTGGAGGCCGGTGTTAGAAAATGGAACTGATGAATTATGGTCGATCTATATTGGAGAATGTACATAGAAGAATAAATAAGGAAAACGTTGGGTTGCCAGATTATAATAGAATTCAAGGAAAATATAGGTAGATTTGGAGATTTATGGCAGTAGTCATGATGATGGATAGCCTTTTGATACTTTTATTTTGTGAATCTTATTTGATATGGATCTAAATGTATATAATAGTTGGTTTAAGAGATGAAATGTAATGTGCAAATGAAACGAATGGCGATTAGGAAATTTGAGTGATCTTTTCAACTTTACAATTGATGACCCACTTTAAGAGATTTCAGATTTAAATGGTGAAGGTTTCAAGACTCAAAGCCAAAAAAAAAACCCTCACTATCAAAATGGTGGAAAGCTGCACGGCTGCAGCCAAACCCGCAAAGCCAAGCCAAATAGGGTTGTAAACAAGCCGAGCAAAGTTGAACATCAGAGTACTCAAACTTGAATTGAACTCTACTAAAGAGCTCGAGTTTGGTCGAGCTCAAAAAGTGGAGCTCAAGCTCAAGCAAAATCTAAATTGAGAAACTTCTACAATTTAAAACAATTACTGAGTTTGCTCGAGCTTAGAAAAGTGGAGCTTGAACTCTAGCAAAATCTAAATTGAGCAACTCCTACAATTTAAAACAATTAAACTGAATTAGTGCTTGTGAACTTGAGGACCTACATGTGATTGTGGTTGGGCTTGATAAGAAGTTGAGAATCTCAAGTTCTTAAGTTATGGAGTGTGAAACCCCTGAATTCCACACCGGATGGAATCATGATTGTTAGTGATATATAATTGTTATAGTTAATTAATTATTGCTAATAATTAAATCTTGTGGACGTTAATACAAAAAAATACTAAACTAGTGATAAGTTTTCGCTCGTGTCATTTTAGTAGCGTAACCTTGAAAGAAGGAAATTAAATGAGGTCTAAGGATCGTAAAGGGTCCCATGGAGTAGAGATCTACATGATCAAGTAATGAGTTATGCAATGATATAGTTATAATATCAAGTAGGATTATACATTTACAAGCATAATGTATCATTAAATTAGTATAATATATTAATAAATGAGTGGATACATATGATGTCACTAATTAACCTCTGAGTAAAAAAAAGTCAATTATATGATGACACATCTTGTTATAAGCTTACAATGCCACATGACATTGTAATTATATTATTTTCATAATGAGTTTGAGTCCCACTTATCTGAGTTTATGTATAAATGTTAATTTCTTTACTTGAACGATATAAGGAATTGAAATTTTTGCCTTTAATTTCTAATAGACTAATACTACTATAGGGAATGAAATTCTCTCTTCATGCTTTAATATTAATTGTTGAGATTTGACTCACCAAGAAATTATGCAAGTGAATAATAATAAAACAAAAAAATAATGAAGAAAATACCAATTTAAGGTGAAAAATTCTCCATAGGGAAAAACCATAAGATAAAACAAGAGATCAACTAATCAAGAAAAGAGTTACAATATTAGAAGCCTCCTTTCAATCTCCTCTTTGTACTCCTATTCTCTCTAAGAACTCCCTCAAGATTTTCCTTCACATCTCTCTACTTTTCACTCACCACATGACACCCCTTGGGGTGGCTTCTTCGCACCAAAGGTATATCTTTGCCACACAATTCTAAATTTGCTAATAACACATACTTAAACTCACTGCAAGTAGGTTTTTATATTCCCACCTTGAGTACAAATTCAAGTCCTCAAATTAGCTACCATGAATTATCATGCAAGTCCTAAGGCTTCTTGCAAATTGAGTTGAATTAAACTTAAATTAGGTGACTAAATTTCACTAAAACTTCAAATCAAGCTCTATTAAGATTTTTCATATTTGTTTCAAGCAATTCAAGGCGCCATTCCTAACAATCTCCCCCTTGACTTGAATTTCTCGAACACGAACTCCCCCTCGAATTGAATGCTTCCGTTCATCTTGGCCTTCTATCTTTTGTGCAAGCAAACCTCTTCATTATTGCTTCTTCTATTTTTTGTTTCCTCCACAAATCCACTGCATATCACCATCGCCTTCATTAAGTTGGAAATCTCCTTGTCAAAGTCATCTCTTGGCCACGAAGTGACTCTAAAATTTGTTGTGCATAGTTCATATTGCCTAGAGTTTGGAATCATAAATTCTAATACCACTACTAGGAATTGAAAGTTCTGCCTTTAATCTATGATACCACTGTTGGAAATAAGATTCCCCCTTCAAGTTTTAATACAAATTGTTGGGGTTTGATTCACTAAGGAATTACACAAGCAAATACAAATAGACCAAAACAATAAAGAAGAAAAAACCAACTTAACATGGAAAATCTTCAATAAAAAAAACCACGAAATAAGAGATCCACTAATTAAGAAAAGAGTTGCAATATTAAAAGTCCTCTCGCGATATCTTCTATGTACTCCTAATCTCTTTAAAAATTCCCTCAAGATTTTCCTTCTTTACTTTATCTTTTCATTCATTACACATCAATCACCCCATGAGGCGGGATATATCTTTATATATCTTCACACAAAAGGTGTCTCCAGCACACAATTCTAGATTTGCTAATAACAAATATTCTACCATATTCAAGTAGGTTTTTAGATTTCTATTAAGAGTACAAATTTAAATCCTAATAGGAAGTATTATATATAATCATGCGAGTCACAAAGTTCAATTCCCTACAAATGAAGTTGAAGTCAAATTAGGTGACTAAATCTTAGGATTTGTCTCCTTTGTTCACCTTATCATTATTCCTTAATTTTAACTATCATCCTATCAGTAAAAAATCTCTCTTATCTTCATCACTTTTTTAAGGATAATATAGATAAAAATATAAATTATCTTCAAATTTTTTATTTGAAAATAAAATTAAAAAAGGTCTACTTTTCAAGCATAGATGGCGTAAAAAAATAAATTATCTTTTAGTATTATTTAGATAATAAAAGTATTTTTTTCAAGTCAAATTGCACTTCTAATATGTGGCTTAATTTGATAAATCATTTATTAGCTATTGACATTTTTTTGTTTTAGTCTTGAATTTTTATCTTCTTTCCAAGTCGTCTAATAACTTTTGAAATTGGATCAATTTCATCTACTTGACACAATTTTATAAGTTAGATCGATGAAAATCTATGTCATTACTTGTGTGGTGCTACATAAAATGCCATATAAGCAACACGTGGCTTGAAAGTAGAGGAAAAATTCCCCTACCTCTTTGTTTTCTTAACCTAATTAACAATGAATAATTAAATTATAATATAATCTAATTAAAACAAAACCTTATTAAAAACACAAAATTATTTTAGCCACGTGTTGCCTACACAGCACCACATAACGATGATGTGGACTTTGTCAATCTTATTAACAGAATTGTGTTAGATCAACTAAATTGATATAATTTTAGAAGTTAATAAAAACTTTTTTAAAAAATAAAAATTTTAGACTAAAATGAAAAAATGTTAATAATTAATAGACAATTTATTAAGCTAAGTCTTTGATATACAATTTAAATACTAAAATTATTAAAATATTTTTAATAATTTTTTTACATTTATTTATTATTGATAATTTAAGAATTTTAATATCTGAAACTGTAGAATATAATAGAACGAAAACTATAAATCTCTTTGCATAAAATGTTGAATGGATTGGATTTGTTTGAAAAAAGTGGCACTTAAGATGTGATTTCGAAATAAAAATAAGTAACAATTTATTAGTTAAAAAATGTAATACAATTATCATTTTTTTGTATTAATCTCTTGATATCTGATAATCATTTTGAATTTCTACTAATCCGGAATCGAATCGCGTCAGATTTCATTAAAAAAAAACTTTCCAAACACCTGTTTCTCCATTCACAAGATTTGACCTTCAGATTTTATTTAAAAGGAATCGAACTCTTTTCACTTAAAACAACAAGTCGTTAGTTTAATTGTATTACCATATTGACTATCTAATTAGGTAAAATTACTTAATACTAATAATTTTCTTATTTTATAATTTAATATAATTTAAA